TTTTTTTTTGGTTAATCTTGTATATATATGCTACACTTTTTTTTTTTTTAAATAAATATTTATTTCTATTTCTGTTTATTTTAAATAATATACATTAGTAGTAGTTTTTATTTTTATTGTATTCAATTTTACTAGAAATTTAAAAAAAAAAGGGAAAAAAAAAAAGCATATATACACAAAAAGTATATATAAACATATAACTATATATATATATATATAAATATATATATATATATGCATGTTTATATAATTTTATACATGATGAATAAAATATAAAAATATTTTAATTAAAAATTAATAATATAAACAAAGATGAACTGTTATGATAACATAAGTAATAGTGATAGTAATAGTATCAATTTAAAAAAAGAGTTACATAATACTTTAGTTGTAATAGGATTTATTATAGAAACAATATTAAATGATAATAACATATTAGAATCTGTGAATATAAATGATATTTATAAAACATTGTATGATATATTTAAAAGTAGATATATGTGCATATTAAGTAATAGTAATTCATATAAAGAAAAAGATAATACTGATCAAAATAAGGAAAATTTATTAAATGAGGAAATTAAATTAAAATTTACAAAAATATTTTATGGTCAAAAAAAAAAAAAGGAGCTTATTACTATTAAAAATTTAAGTTGTATTAAATATGCAATTGCAGGATGTATATATTTACATGGGAAAATATCAAATAAAAATATTTCATTAAGAAATATTTTAAATATAATTGATTATAATATATCTCTATTAAATAATAATATATATACAAAATATGGCATATCTAAAAGTTATATTAGAGATGTAACTTCTAGCATAAATCATTATAAACCTATTATTAAGGAAAATATATATCATGAGAAAGAAGAAAGTTTAAAGATGGAAAGAATTTGTTTATATTCTTCACGTTTTAAATTATCTAACAATATATCAAAGTATTCTTTATTATATGAATTAATGTTTATAACGAGATCACCTTTTATAATAAATAAATTTCTTTTTTCAGTCTTTAACGATGTTATTTGTATACCAAATATAAATGATAAATACAACGATGTTGTTATTGTCATATCTTGTATCCTATTTGTAAATCATTTTTTTTATCATATTAATCAAAAATATAAAATAAATTCTCAATTTTTTTGTTTTATTAAGAAAATATATCAATATCAAGTTGAAAAAATTATGAACATATTTCTACTTTTAAATACAACTAATCATATACAGGAAGTTAAAAATATTATTTCACTCATGAAAAAAATTATATACTTATATTCTATTAAATATTAAAATATATTTAAAATTTAAAAAAAATGAAAAAAAAGAATATATAAATGGTTATATTTCATATATGTTATCTATTTTATTCCTTTTTTTTTTTTTTTTTTTTTTTTTTTTTAGTTATATACTATATATATATATATATGTATATATATAAAAAGAATATATAAATTCTTTTATTATATACATATATATTTAGTAATTATTATATTTTTCTGGTTCATTTTGTTTCATTTAGTTCATATATATTACCAATGTATATAGAGATATTTTTATTTTTTTTTATTTGAATAAAATTCTATAAAGTTTAATAATAATATAGTATTTATATATAAAAAATGTTTTTAATATGCATATGCATACAATTTTTTTTTTTTTTTTTTTTTTTTTTTGTTATAATTTTTTAATATATAATAATTAAATTAGACATCGTTCCTATTCATCTAATAGATTGCTTATTTCAATTTTTTTTTTTTATTGCATTTCATACTTTTAATATAATTTTTTTATAATATATAATAGTCATATTTTTCTAAAACTGTTTTTTTTTTTTTGTGCTTAAATTTTCCTATTTAAAACCCTATGGCTATTTTAAAATTTACATTTTATAATTATATCTCTAAAAAAATAAAATTAAAATAAAATATATGCATATTGTTTTAAAAAAATATATTTTATGTATCTCAGATGCATTACCAAATTTTTTTTTTTTTTTTTTTATTAAACTTTTAAAAGGTAATATTTTAAAAAAATATTTTTTATAATAATGAAAATAAAAGGACTTATAATTTAAATGAGAAGCTACATATTCATATATAATATTCCATTATTGTTAAATATTTATTTCTTTTTGCTTATTTTTTTTTTTTTTTACTATTTTGTGTTTCTTGATATATTTTTTTAATTTTTTATATAATCTGTCTAAATTTTCAAATATTATATTTTTAAAAATTTTGAATTGAAAATATAATACCATTTGTTAGTTTTTAAATAAATATATAGAACAAATACATTTATATATAAATTACCAGATTTTTATATATAGAGAGAATTATAAATTAATATAAATAAATTTATATAAATGTATAAATAATAAAAAGTTTTCATAACAGAAGAAAAATAAATATATAAAGGGTTATAAAGTAAGAAAGAACATAATAAATGTAGATTAAAGTTGTATGAACATAAGTAAATTTAAAACCTAAAATTAAGAAACATATATAAATAGAATTTTATTTATATCTTTATACCAAATATTTTATTAGTTTATATATATATATATATATATCATTTTATTAAATATGAATAAACTACAATATATGAAAGATGACAAAGTCGAATATGAAAAGTTTCTCAAAAGATGAATATGATAAAAGTGAAGATTCAGATAAGGAAATAATGGTTATAAATAGAATGCTAAAGTCAAAAATATTTTTACAGTCTAATAATAATAATAATAACAATTATATTAATAAGAAAATAATTAAAAGGAGTACAAATATTTATAATACAAAAGAAAATTTTGATAAAAATAAGCAGAATGCAAATAAATTAAAAAAATCATTAAATTTTCAATCTAAAAAAATAGAAAATGAATTTCACGAAAATCTTTCTTTAAAAGATAAACAGAATTGCATTAAAAAATTAGAAAAAATAAATATTAAAAAAAAAAAAGAGACAGAAAATAAAGATTTAAATAAAAATGAAAATAAATTCAAAGGAAATGAAAAAAGTGAAAATGATAAATGTGATAAGTTAAACTCTTTTAAAGAAATGGAAAGTATAAGTAAAATTAACGATAACTGTATAAATCATAATAATGCAAAAAATTGTATAACTAATAAATCCTTCGAAAAAACGAATGATAAAATAATTGATCAACAAAATAATTGTAATAATAATGAAAAAGGAGTAAATAAAAATTTATATAAAATCGATGAGAATAATAATTTCAATAATTCTTATTCATATGATAAAATAGTAGAGGGATTAGGATATGATTATAAGAAAAAAAAAGAAGAAAATAATATAGAAAGCACTTCATATATAAATATAAAACAAAATAATGATTACTGCATAGAAGAGAATATAGAAGAAAAAGACTACTACTTGAATAAAAATTATATTTATGAATCAAGTAAATGTATATATTTACAAAAAAAAAATAATAATATTATAATAAATGAAGATAATTCGTCAGTGATAAAATATGATGAATTTGAATTGGAAGAAATAAATAATGAATTAGAAAGGATTATTGAAGAAGAAAATTATATACAAGAACAAATTCTTCATTTAACTGATAAAGAGCTCGAATTAGCTATAAAAATAAAAAAAAGCCAACATAGTAAAAAATTATTAGAAAAAGAGAATACAAAAAAAGAATGTGAAGAATATATAGAATAAAACAATAATTATAAAAAGGAGAAAACATACTTTTTCCACCATATATATTATAATGAACAAAAATCTTTCAAGTTTCATATAATTAAATTATAATTTTTCCCTTTTTTATCTTCAGAAAATCTTTGATTATTAATATATTCATTTATCCTCTATATATTGTTTAATAGGAATCTTCAAATATTTGAATTAACTTAAAAGACCTCAAAAAATAGATAAGAAAAATAGATCAACAATAATATATGTATCATTAATAATTTTCATAGAAAGAAAAAAAAAATTTACATTATATATTAAAATTAAGTTGTACAACAGACTACCACTATAGTTTTTTTTTTAAATTTTTTCAGTGAAATTCTTTTAAAAAGTTCATTAAAATATTTAGAAAAACAAGATTTATTAAAAGTATTTATTATGTAAAAAAAAAAAAACATATAAACATGTTAAACGGTTGTTATACTAACCTTTTGAATTTTGTATTTTCCTTTATATATAAAAGATCATTAATTTAAAAATAAAATGAAAAACCATTAACATTTAACGTCTACAATAAACACTGATAATATTTTTTTTTTAAAAAATTTAATTCATAATAATGAATAATATAATAATTTCTCTCTATATTTTTTTTATTCTTTTATACAAAACAATAAATTTCATTAATAAATATTTATATATATATATATATTTATATATATTTATATATATATTTATATATATATATATATATATCATATACATCCTGAATAAAGTGATATAAAAAGATAAAGCTAGTAAAAGGACAAATAATCTTTAAATGTATAATTTTTTTTCTTTTTTATAGTCTAATTCTTTTATAAATTTCTTCTCTTTTTTCTTGGTTTTTTTTTTTTTTTTTTTTATTTTTTTTTTCAAGAAAAAAAATAAATTTTATTCATAAATAACTGAATGCAATTTGAATGTAATTTTTTTTTTTTTTTTTTTTTTTTTTAAATGTATTGATTTCCTAGTTTTTTAGTGCTAAAAAAATAAAAAAAAAAAAATAAATTTTTATTTATTGTTTTTACAAATTTTGATTATATTTTTTCTTTAAAAAATTAAGTTGTTTTAAAGAAAATTAAAGAAACAAAAATTTAATTAAATGCACATAAAATTTTTATATTCTTAAATGAATAAATATCTTAATAAAAATAAGTACATGAAAATTGTACTTACATCACATATTATTTAAAATATGTATTTTTTTCAACTTTTTAAATAAAAATTGTTATTTGCACATAGATAATTCATTAAAATAAATTATTTATTATGGAAAAAAAAAATGATTTAATTATTAACAAATTAAATTTATTATACAAAAAAAATTAAATGCATATTTTTGTTTTTTTTTTTTTTTTCTTTTTATCATAGCATTTTATTTTTTAATTAGTAATATATATAAAATGGATATAATATATGCATTTTTTAATAAATTATAAAAACAAAATTTTTTGTATATCAGTAGTTGTAAGACATAATTTGATTATTTTTAAGAGAATCACATATATATCAAATAGTATACATAAAAAAAAATAAAAAAAATTATGAAAATATAAAATATATTATCAAAACGTTATATATACAAAGACATAACACTTCAGGAAAAACTAAATGAAATATATATATTATATAAATAATTAATAACAATACTAAAAAAATCATAAACTTATATTGTATTTTTTTTTCTGTTATATATATATATATATATATATATATATATATATATATATATATATATATATATATATATATATATATATATATATATATATATATTTTAAAGTATAAAAATACAATTTCATTTTTAATTATATATTAAATATAAAAAATGTGAGGTTATAATTTATATTCTTTTTATAAACAAGTAATTTTAAAAAATTTAGTATTTCTATGAAAATTTATATTTTTAATTATATATACATATGTACATATTTAATAACATTCAGTTATTAATATATAATAAATTTTATACTTTTCTAATTTTATGTGTATAAATTATTTTTAATATACTTAATATATTCATTATTTCATTTTTAGTATATATATTAATTTACATTATTATTTTATATTTTACTAATTCCTGTACTTATTTTTCTATATTCTGTGTTTTTTTTTTTTTTTTTTTTTTTTTTTTTTTTTTTTTTTTTTTTTTTCTTTTATTTAAATAACAGTATTAATATTAATTTGTTTAAATAAATTTTTTTTTTTTATTTTTTTTATGAAAGTGAGGTAATTAATATAGTCTATATTCTAAAATTTACTACTAGCTAATAGAATGATTATTAAGTAAAACTAAATTTTAAATAAAATACAAGTAAATTCATTTATATATTTACGTATATTGAAAAATAAAAAAAAATAAAACATTTTCTATTTTATTTCATGTCAAGATGCTTTTGAATATATAAAAATATGAAACAAACGAAAAGATCAAGACTCATAAATTCATCCATTTCTTATGATAGTTCAGGTACTTAAAACTAATAAAATTAGAAAGATATTTTTAAATTTATATGTAATAATTTTTTTATATGAGGATATTTATAATATATTTTTATTTCATACATATTTAGTTTATTTTTTTTTTTTTTTCGTTAATTCATTTAAAACATTTATGTATAAATATATATATATATATATTATATATATTATATCTCTTTAAATATATTTAAAAAAAAACAACAAAAAAAAAAAAAAAAAAGATAGCAGATTTGATGATTCACATAAGAAAAGAGGTGATACACATCATTTAGTAAGTAATTCATCTAAGAGAAAATATAATATGGTATCTAATAATTCTAATAACAATAATTTAAATATGTCTAAAGGAAAAAGAGGTAAACCAATATTTGATTCTTCTGATTCTTCTAATGAAGAAAAATATTGTAAAAATTCTAAAAAGAATTATAAATCACACTATTCAGAGAAAAGTCCTGACAACGGTTCATATAAAAAAATAAATTACGAAAAAGAAAAAAGTAAACAAAAATTAAAAAAAGATCAAAAGAAAAATTATAAAGAAAATATAAATTCATTTAGTTCTCATAATTCTACTAGTAGCAATTCTGATACGAAAAATATTGATGCTAACTCTTTCAGTGAATCAA